ACTTGTGTTACCCATTCTTAATGCTGAGATCACCAGCTATATATATGCAAAAAAGATCTCTTACAGGTGTGGCATGCAAAGATGTCGTTGTGTTAACCACCTATTCCAACTCTGGACCTGACAGGTGCATGCATTCCTCTTCCTCATTTATAAAGAGGACAACATTATCATTGTTTTGAACTATGGCGGTTATGTTGTCGTCATTCTTCTGGCCACTGGTTTCACCTTTGCCCTTCCTTGGATTTGGGCAATCTCTTTTGAAGTGACCAAGTTGATCACAATTGTAGTAATTTCTGGATCTTGATTTGGACCGGTTCTTAGACTTCCCACGAGCTCTGGATCAACCGTAGTTACTCGAACTCCTTTGATAACTTCTTCCTTTAGCTTTTGTGATGAAAGCATGTCCTTGATTTTCAGTCTTCTTTCTCATCTTCTCATTGAGTAGAAGAGTTGATGTGATATCTTTCAACTCAATGGTAGTCTTACCATAAAGAATGGTTATTTCCAAAATATCGTACGAAGATGGCAACGAGTTCAATAGCAAGATGACTTTATCTTCTTCCTCGATTTTTACTCCGAGATTGGCAAGCTGTGTGATTAGTCCGTTAAACACATTTAAATGTGACAAAAAATTTGTACCTTCACCTATGTGTAGGGCGTATAGCTGCTTCTTCAGGTATAATTTATTTGTTAGTGTATTGGACATGTATAGGCTTTCCAACTTTGTCCAAATGCCACATGCGGTGTTTTCATCAATGATGTTATTTACCATATCATCTGATAAGTGCAACTTGATTGCACTAGCAACCCTTTCATCCAAGTCATCACAATCCTCAGCTTTTATGGTATTAGGATTTTTGCCATCAGCATCTAGTACCTTTTGTAATCCTTGTTGGATGAGCAGATCCCTCATCCTTCTTTGCCATGTTGAGAAACCGCTATCTCCATTAAACTTTGCTACCTCGTACTTTACTCCGGATATTTTTGTTTTTCATCGAGTATAATACTACCGATGGTGAATAATATTTTTGTGAACGAGCAGAACATGTGCTCTGATACCAATTATTGGGAATAAATCCCCTACTAATAATATTCACGTTAATAAAAGCGTAATAATAATATAGAACCGAGATACGGTAATTAACAAGAATAAAAGAGTAATAACGATACCAAGATTTTTATGTGAAAAACCCTTTTGAATAAGGAAAAAACCACGGCCCCGGGAGGAGCAACTGATATCACTATAGCAAGGAATTTTATACTTTGTAGGTCCGAGTAAAATACCCAAAGGCCACTACAACACTCTACTATGTGTCTTATGTGAAAAGGCAATTTGTATCTATTGTTACCCATCAAATTGTTAATGTTTCATGCATTTGCGCCTTCAGGAGGAGTTCGAGCAGTATGCTGAGTAAGCTAAAACTTTGCCTGAGAACACAACTAATGAAAACTTATACTACCATTATTTTATTTTATCCATTTTGTAATTCTTTCCTTTAATTTGCTAGTAACTTCTTGTTAGCTTGATAAGGATAAAGAGTAACATTTTTAATCCTAATAAATGTGTCTGTTTGTTGGGTCACATAGCCTTGCATTGGATTTGATTATTTTGTTACGTTAGAATTTACATTCTAAATTCGATGGATTGAAGTTTGGAGCTAGTCTTTCCTGTAGATTCTTCGTTTCCTTATGTTTCATTGGGCAACAAATACATGGTCTTTGTACAGGAACATCTTGCTTGTAAGATATTTATATAAAAATACTTTTTTGCTCATATTAAGAAGGAATTCAAGTGGCAAAGACTGAGTTACGATAGTCGTGGTTAGTCCCAAAGTCACATAGTCGTTTACTGTCTGTTTAGCTGGATTAGCTGCTATATTGGTGATTTTCTGTTACTGTCTTGCTTGTCCCGTTTCTTAAACTTTTTGCTTTGTCGTTGTATTGTTGGCTCATCCTACTCATAAGGAGTTCATTAACAAAATGATTGAAATATTTGAAAAAATATCCCTCGTGTGTGGGAATGATCGAGCTAGGAATGATTATGCTAAGTCGCTTGATGATATAAGCTTGGATTGTAGTTCAGAGAAAGTTAATGATAATGACATTGAAGGACCATCAAAGGAAAAAGATGTGCAAGACGTAGTAAGTGAAACTTCTCAAGTCAAAGCACGTCGTTAAAGAAGTCGCTTCTGATGCGCAAGATGTGTTCGGTAATATATCAACAAAGCTTGGAGAAGTAGCAATGACAATTAGTAAGATAAATGATAGTCGACTAGATATGACAAGATTGTATGAAAAAATTAACAGAAGATTCTAAAGAAGAGTTCTTAGGTGAAGGTTTTGATTATTTGGTGCAAAGTGATATGTTAGCTAAGGCATTCATGAAAAAAAATCAGAATCTCCGCAAGGTTTAGCTGGAAAGATTCAAGTGACAACACTAAAATACACAAATGGAGTTGGAAGAACAAAGCTAGAATAGGAAGCAATTGCTTGACTGAAAGAGCTCTCCGATGTCACTGTTGAAGCTTGAATAGTTAAAATGTCTCGGGTCATCCTTGAAAGAACCGGAAAGTGTTTTTCTTTATCCTTCCACCATTGCAAAAAATTAAAGGAGCCCAAGCAATAATAGGTCGTTTGGTAGAGTGTATAAGAATAGTGCGGAATAAGGTGTATAAGTAATGCATGGATTAGTAATGCATGGGTTAGTAATGCAAGCATTAGTTATGCAAATATTATTTCTTATCTACTGTTTAGTATCGTGTATTAAAATTATAATGCATTGCATAATTTTTAAAAAAAATAGTTGCTTACAAAAATGCCCTCCATATTTTGTAGCTTTAAGGGACTTTAAGGATAATTTTGTCTTTAACCACGCTAATGCATGCATTAAAGCCTGGGTATTACTAATGCCATGGTTTTCAATGCATTACTTATGCATAGGATAATGCCAAGTATGATGTATAATTAATACAAGTATTAGTTATACACAAGTTGAAAAAATGTACCAAACAAGGTATTAGTAATGCATAAAGCTAATGCTTGCATTATTTTTTCTAATATCTCTTACCAAACGACCCCTAAGTGTTCTTGCTCCCCTAGTTCTTCTAGATGATTGAGAATCATAAGAAGAAGGAGTTGGAACATTTGGTCTAGCATGATTTAATGCAACTTGATAAGCATTATAAATAGTTTGAGCATTTATTCTAATTGAGGCTATTGCTTCCGGAAGTTGAGGCAACTCATCATCTTCAAGTGCTAAACCATTATAAATAGTTTCATACCAAATTTGAGGACATCCTAATTTCATACAAGGATTTAACAAAGCAGCAACACCATAAATAGGGGAAATAGGAAAAAATATTTTTTTAACTTTTTTCTCATAGATACAATATCAAGTTTATTAATTTTTCCACCCTTTGAAAAATGAGCAAACAAATTTGCAAGTTTTGCAATATAAACTAAACAGTTAGAAATAGTAGAATAATATTGCCCAGAAAATTCATTTGTAGAAATATGAAATTTTTCTAAAAAATCAACAAGTATTTTAACATTAGCCCAATCCCCATTCATAAGGCGCTCATCATCATCACTTACATGTGCATTAAACGTTGAGTTTATGGGGTTTCTATATTCATATGCAACAACCAAACTTTCATACATATAATTCCATCTAATTGGACAAGGTTTAAGAACCTTCCTTTCTCTTAGGCCACATTCATCGCATCTTTTAAAATATTGTCTCAGTCTACTTCTATAGTTTGAATAAAAAAGTCAGTTAAGAGCCATCTTATCCTTTTCAATTTAAATATTTAAAATTCTCATACCATCACCCACAATTAAATGGTAAATATGACAAATACTTCTAACATGAAAAATGTTACTAAATGCAGGATTTAGTATAGTGGTAAGCAAGTCTATAGCATTTGTGCTATTAGTAGCATTATCCATTGAAACCGACATTATTTTATCACTAATGCAAAAATATCTGCAAATATCTGTAACTGTGCTAGCAATAAACTGTCTTGTGTGATGTGAAGCAATTATGCGTTTTTGCATTATCCAATCCTCATCAATCCAATAACTAGTAATAGTAAGGTAATCATAATCGTTACCACTTCTACCAATATCAATTATAATAGCAACACGACAATTGTATGAGTAAATAAATAGCACAAATATTGTTCATATTCATGCTTATATTTATAAATATCGCTTTTTACGGTTGTGCGAGGAAAAAACCTTTATAAGTAGGATTAAAACATTTTCTAATATAATGCACAAACGAAGGGCCAAAAGGAAAACTATAGGGTAAGCACATAACAGTTACTATTTTTGCCAATTCTTCCCGATTTTTTTTGGATCATAACATAAAATACTACCGATAATAATGTTAATTCCCAGTTAAAATTGATTTAAACTGGTACTAGGGTCAACCTGTCTAAGACTAGGTACACTTTTCCCCGGGCCAAAGCTTTCTATTATCCTACTATTTCAATCTTTTTGCCAACGGTTGTATTTTAAATTAGCCAAATGGTTACTTTTTTTTCAAAAAATTATCGTTGGGCCCATTTGGCCCGCCAAGGGACCAGTTCGATCCCGGTCCCTTGGCAAGCCAAACGGTCCCGGTCCTAACAGTTTGTAGTCAAGAACCGGCCTACGAGACCGGCCCGAACCCACCTCTAATGGTCCTACCAATCCCAGCCCACTTAGCATGTTTGGCTCGTTTGGCCCGCGGTTCCGGGCTTGGACCAGCCCACTTGCCACCCTTTTGGACAGTTAAAGTNATATATATATATATCCTATATTTGAAGAAAATGCATTTTCAACTTCATACCCGAGGACTTCCACTCTCACTCGGAATCCCTTAAAGTAAAATTCGACATATTGGATTCCTTTTACATAGAATGGGGCAGAGAGAGTAACACAACTTGAAATATAGTCCTTTCCTATTTATTGGATTCCTTTTACATAAAATGGGGCAGTTAGAGTAACACAACTTGAAATATAATCCTTTCCTATTTAGAGCAAATTCTTTCACAATGTCAAAAACAACCAACAACAAACCCAGTATAATTTCATAAGTAGGGTCTATAGAAAATATTGTGTATTTAGAACTTGCGAAGGTAAAGAGACAGTTTCCGATAGACCCTCGACTCGAGCCAAGACCGTCATTACAGTAGTGGAAAAGCCTCTCTACCTTCGCAATGTCAAAAACACCCAATGGAGTGAATGATGTTGTATACTTATCTCATCAAATCACAGATACTGATCCAGAACAGTAATACCAATATACCATTGTTAATGAGATTGAATCCAACTGGTTATTAAGATCAGTTGCCAGGAGATCCTGGCATTTGGTTTTCTTGAACTATACACAGTTATAGGTTATATACAAATTTGTAATATTATTAAAACCTATACAAGATGGAGGCAACAACTGAATATTAGCAGGACACAGCAGCGTCGATGGACGATGAAGAGAACTTTTAAGAAAATGACCGGAAGTCGCTGCCATGAAAGCTACACTAAGTTGAGGTCGCCAAATGTGTTTTCACCACTGTAGGTAACATAGAGGAAACCATCTTCATCCTTCTTTTCATCATAGATTGAAGACATGATTGCCCCTTCAAAAAAAAAAGAGCTTGTTGCTTTAGATTTAACTATTATACGCTTTTCTTGCACGATCAGGCTGCGTAAAAACTAATTACACGTAATTATGGTATGACACCCTAGGCAAATCTCACATCGACAAAACACGAGAGATGCTGGATATATAAGTAGACAAGTCTTAGACTCTAGTGACGCGTTTTAAAGCCCTGCAAGCCTAGGCCCAAAGCGGACAATATTACTAGTATGTTGGGCTGTTACAATTGGTATCAGAATCACTCCGTGTGCAACCTTGAACGGTGGTGAGGCAAACCTCAGCGAGGACGCGGAGTCCCCAAGGGAGGGTGTATGTGACACCCTAGGTAAATCCCACATCAACAAAATATGGGAGAGATGTTGGGTATATAAGTAGACAAGCCTCAGATTCTGGTGACGCATTTTAAAGTGGGCCTAGGCCCAAAGCGGACAATATCACTAGTGGGTTGGACTGCTACATATGGATAGGTAACCTGTAAAAGATGGTAAGTGACCTATTACATATAGTAAAAAACATTGGTAGTGTGAAAATCTTTTACTGTGTTAGTGTATATAAGAATCCTAAAAAACTGCCCTACTGTTAATAAACGAATGTAGTATTAGCACATTAGTGATTAGCACTCACCTGTTGGTGGAAGGACATTATCAACAAATATGAAAATTGCCTTTTCTGCACTCAATTTAATCCTTTTGCGAATGACATAGACAAACTGCCCTACAGTTAAGTCGGCTGGGACAAGATACCTGCAATTTTGTCAATTCGGCAACATGAATAAGCATTTGCTAGTAACAAAACCAGATGCCAAGATATTATGCGTTAGTTCGGTGGTGAAGATAGCCGTTGTTATTTAGCCAAACTAGTGCATAGGTTATTTTAATACGTTACATGATTGTTACCAAGAATTAGGTAATTTTACGGGCAAAACTAAAAATTCATAACCAGGTAGGAGAAGGTAAGACCAAAGTTTTGGAAAAGGTCATTTACTAAGTAGAAGTGAATATACCGCATGAAAACGGCGCATAACTAACAAAAGAAACAGGAGCAAACATTTACAGCATGACGTAGCATTTCAATCTTTATTACGAAGAAAAGATTACTAATAATTGATGAGTGCTCACTTTTTCTTGTCAATGTTGGGAATATCACTCTTTTCAGCCTTTTCAACGATGACCTGCACATCATAAAAACAGAGTCAAGAGTACGCAAAAAGAATAAAATATTAAAGCAACAATAGTTGAGCCAAATTGACTACTCCACCAAACATGAGAAGCCCAAATCCTGTTGTACATAGAGATAATTCTGAACAATGACGATCATGTATTTTGTAATGTGTCATACTCTAAGTTGCTTGTTGATATGCATCGTAGATTTATACTTATAATTATAAGAACAAAATCTTCCCAGAGCAAAGTCTAAGCCCTTTCTGATTCAAAATGCAGTTAGGCATCATCATATGATCGACAATGTTGCTCAATTAGCTTCCAATTTAACCATAGTCATAAATCCCCTAAAATGGAAACATCAACAGTCTTCGAAAACTCGAAAAGCATAATTAGTATAAATACTTAAAAACTACTTTGAATTTGATGTGACATGTTTAAATCTTTTACACATCTTCCAACTATACCATATGTTTAGTACTCTCATATATAATGACTCATTCAAACTTCAAACTCAATTCTCCGTGAAGTAAACTAGATGAATGAAAATGGGATGGAGGGACATTTCACTTTCCAGGTTGTTCATTGATGTTTAACCATGCATCATCTCGCAATATGTTCCCATATTAATGCTTATCAAAACTTCCACTCCATACCTTTATTACTTGGATTTCTGCATTATATCACATCATAAGGTAAAGTTGTAAAGTTGCTGCCATGTGACCAGGAGGTCACGGGTTCGAGCCGTGGAAGCAGCCTCTTACAAAAATGCAGGATAAGGATACGTACTATAGACCCTTGTAGTCTGGCCCTTCCCCAGAACCCGTACATAGTGGGAGCTTAGTGCATCGGGCTGCCCTTTTATCACATCTTAAGGTGGAATTTCAGTATATGAGATTAGCCAATGAACGTTAGGCTATTCCTAAGGATATTGGAAAGGGCAGAGGGCAGCCCGGTGCAAAAAGCATACCGCATTCATGTAGGGTCCCGGAAAGGGCCGCATCCTAAAGAGTGTGATGTAGACAGCCTAACATAATGCAAACATTAGTAGCTACATGCAAAGAAAAAAAAAAAAAGATAAGTTCTAGCCAACTTTATATTTGTCAAATTCCCCACTATGAGGTGCATTTTATTTCCTCGGGACTCAGAACAAACAAGATATGCACACCTTTGCAAAACATTAATACAGTAGCTGCAATTTCGAACTCACCAAATACCACCAGTCCACAACACCTTCCCAAAAATGAAATTAAAAGCATATCAAAAAGGAATAAGGCAAATTTGAGGGCGACCACAACCTTCATTTTGTACAGTAAGACTTCAGTGGTATTAGACATAATTAGTACTTAAGGCAATAGCAAACTAAGAAAAGGAAGTCCAACAGCTAATTTGAACATTATGTATCAGATTTACTCATTTAAATTGTATCAGAAATCGCTTAAATGAAGGTAGGAGTAGCCAGAAAGCCAAAAAGGCAGCTGAAAAGTGACACTAAATATTCAAAGAACATATAGGTATCCAATATTTACGAGAGACGCAAGCCCTCGTAAATAATTTCCACGACAATCTAGGATTAGACACCAGACAAAAGTCTCCACTAGATGGCCATAGAAGATTATTGTCATGGACAGTGGCGGAGGCAGGATTACTGCCAAGGGTGTTCAAAAAAAGAAAAAAGTTAGAACGGTAATCGCTTGTTGGAATAGAACCAATGACCTTTCAAAGGTTTTGAACCCCCTTGACCACTAAGCTATGCTTTTGGACTGCGTCAAGGGGATTCAAAACATAATATATAGAGGTAAAAAACAAATTTTGCCTTACATATACAGCGTAATTTTTCGGCGAAGGGGACTCGGGTGAACACCCTTCCGCCCCTGGTCATGGATCGTGCATTCTGCACACTAAAAGATCAAGAGACAGCAATTTCACCTCGCCGACAACTCAAACTCACTGTGCATAAACAGCATACTTATTTGTTACTTTCTGGCAACTATTCCAAATACTTTACTCCATCAAAGTCACTTACATTCACATTCAACCAAGCAGCTAGAAAACAACATTAAATCTATATAATGCAATAAAAATTCCAGTTAAAACTTAATTCTCACCGGAATCCTATCGGGGTACTTTTCCCTAATCCTAGAAGCTTCAGCACGCCTCTTCTCTGCATACAGAATCAGATACTAGTAATAACCCTAATCATATTTAGAAAAAAGAAAAGTATAATAACTAAAGCCAAAAATCAGAAGTTCAATATATACCAAGATCATGTTCTTGCTTGAATGAACTCTTTGCCATATTTGCCTGAATTCAACCATCAAAAAAGCATAAATCTTTATGTTAAATTAACATACCCTTTTATCAGAAAAGCCAATTTCTTCAACCGAAAAAAAAAAATACAACCCATATTTCTCTACAAAAAAAAAAAAAAAAAAAAAAAAAAAAAAAATTAAACACCTAAAAATTTGGAAAAAAAAATAAAATGATACAAAGTTAAAAAGACCATCAAAAGAGCAAAAATCTTTATGTTAAACTGACATACCCTTTAACCTAAAAAAGCCAATTTCTTCAACCCAAAAAAATAAAAAAAAATTAAAAAATACAACCCATAGTTCCCTACAAAATAGAAACTAAAAAATAAACACCTAAAAATTTGGGAGAAAATAAACTAATAAAAAGCTAATAAGAGCATCAAAAATCTGATTTTGCTGCTTCAAAAATAACTACAGAAATTAAGTAATACAGTAAACTCTAGCGAAAAAAACACCCAACTGATAAAGCAAGAATTTTGGACTCAATAAATCAAATTAAACCTTAATTCCAAATTAGTTCTATGCCAATCCTTAAAAAAAATGAAATATTTGCAAAATAAAACTAGAAAAAAAACATAAAAAGAAGATTAGGAGTAATAACAACTAAAGAGAGTAAAGATTATACCTTTTTTGTGAAGAATGATTGAACAAGAAAGGGAAAAAGGAGAAATAAGATAGGAAAATTGGATGAGTTGATTGTTGAATAAATAAGCTTTGCTTTGGCTTTGTTTTTGGACTCTTATGTATAAATAAATAAATAAATATAATGTATGTGGACTAATCTTTAATCATTATCCAAATTCCTTAAATATAGTTTTTAAAAGTATTATATATTGGGAAAACTTGTGTGGGATTGCTTAGAGATATGAGCAGACGTGGGTTTCAAGGCAAATAAAAGTCAAAATCCTTTATTTTAGTTTTTTTTTCTTTATTTGTATTTTTAAAAAAATTAAAACTTTAGGGAAAGGAAGTAAATATTGAAGGTGGTTCAAAGTCAATAATGACTTCATTATGTCATAAGTTATACTTTTCTTATAAAATTTTGTTGCATAAGGGGTAGGGGAAATAAAAAATGCTCGGAGGGGATTATAAGCAGAAAAATCAAATTCTCACTGTTTGCAACAAATTTTAGTAAGACGAAAATAAACTGTCACAAAAAGGAGATTTTATTGATAAATATTTGTGAGTACAATTCTATGTATTCTTTGATAAAATCGACAACGGTTTCCTTTTTCACCTCCTTGAGTGGAACAACTTCAGCCCATGTAGAGAAGTAGTCTGTAGCGGCCAATATGTACATCTATTCTTTTGATTACTTTGGAAGTAGTCCAACAACGTCAAATCCCCATGCATCAAAAGTCCATGAAGCTATAGTTGGGTGAAGAGGCTCTCGAGGTTGGTGGATGTAGTTGGCATGAAATTGACATGCTTGACATCTTTTGGCATGATCCATGCAATCCTTCACCATTGTCGCCCAGTAGTAGCTTATCGTTGTCAAATCCGCACTACTACAAAGTAGGAAGAGAGGGTCGCAATAGTTTTTTACCCGATATGAGGGTCGAGATCAAATTCCTCAGGGAGCTACGAAGGGAATTGAGTATTTGTCTAGACTAGAATCGTGTAATTGTTCCAAATGTCACTTCCAATCATCTTTTGATTTTTCTTTAACAAACTAATATTATCAACTACTAATTAGAACTAAATTATGCTAATGAGAAAATTGCTAGAGTTGTATCTAATAGGTAGAAAGACACTAGGGTAGTGACTTTCACCTAGGTGGCTAATTGACGGGTAAATGCTTCTAAGGTTCGATTGAGATGATTGGGGAAATATGCTATAATCGTTGCACAATTTTACTCACTCTTACACCTCTCGGTAGAGAGAGTGATTTTGCCTAATTGACTCTTTCGAAACCAAATAGGTAGGCAAATTAGCTCAAGCAACTAGGGTTCAAGTCGGGTAATTACTCTCGAGGTTTAACCCTTTAATTGGGACTATCAATTCTCTTGAGTCCATCCCAATTCCTTGTTGGGTCAATTTTGGAGACTTAGGCTTTCTTTCTCAAGAAGAGCCAAGTCAACTTAGCATAAACCAGTGTTTGCAACCACCAATTCATAGATTAAACCATAAAATTATCCCAAATAGCAAACGTCCATAGTCAATCTAACCCTAGATGGAAACACCCATCAATTACCTACACTAGAGTTGAGCCACAACCCTAGCTAATGAGTTTAGCTACTCATGCTTGAAGAAGAAAATAGAGAAATAGATGAAGAACAAGACATATTAATTAAAATCTAATGTAAATACAGAGAATCTATCATTAAATCTAAGTTGAGATGCCAAAAATGGTTACACAATAGCTTCTCACGAGCGCAACCTTGTTCAGAAAATAGCTGATACCCTAAAAAATAGAAAAATATTCTATTTATACTAAGCTGGAAAAATTGGACACAAATGCCCCTGCGGGGTCAGTGCGGACCGCACAGAATGGACCGCGGCCGCACTAGGCTCTTGGACTTGAAGTCTTGGCTCTTTGAACTCCGGCTTCGTGGACCGCGCAGAATGGACCGCAGTTGCGGAGGTCTCTAATGCGGTCCGCACAAACATGACCACGGACCGCGCTGGTTTGATCCTTATCAAATTACATCTCTCTGATCTTCTCTTATGAAGATCACATAATGGCAATGCGGAAGCGGAACCTTCAGTGCGGGCCGCGCAAGATCGAATGTGGCCGCACTGCCTTGAAGCTCGATTTGCTAGCTCTCTGAATCCTTTAGTGAGGACCGCACAAAGTGTAGTGCGGCCGCACTAGGCCTTTTTGTCCTGAGTTTGCCTTGTCTTTGGTACTTGAGCAGGTTTCACTCTTTTGAGCCGATCTTTGACATTTTGTCACTTTGTCGATCAAACCTACAATCAAGCACAACTTATGAGCCTTTTGAGACTATTTTGTAAAATTTATAATCAAAGCGTAAGCAGGAAGGAGCATAAAACACGTCAAAATTCCTAGTTATCAACTCCCCCAAACTTAAGCTTTTGCTTGTCCTCAAGCAAACGAAATAAGACCCACCCTTTTAAGGGAAAATCCAAGTATTTTTAGCTATCCTAAAGTAACCTCAACAAGCATCAATTGGGACTAACAATTGCCCTCAATTCGAATGAATCATTAACAACATTTAACCTTTGATAAACCATGGATCAAGTGTGACACAAGAGCATCAAGAGTTGACTCATTACATCAAAGAACTCTCTCAGTTACTTTGGTCATTGTGGAACCCAAACTCACATATCCTCAACTCTCCCTAAGCAAACCTCACCTTTTAGAGTATTAGCACACAAATCGAGGTCAATGGGAATTCACTCATCTCTCTCAAGGAAAGGTCACAAGTCCGGCTCTAAGTACCATATGCTTGCCCCTCATGTAAGTATACACTAATGCAAGCTTCATGCTACTCAAGATCATATAGGGCTTTTGTTGAGTCATTGTGAAGGTTTTTGGTTCAGGGTAGGACATGTTTAGATCTAAGTGGGTTCCATCTTCCCTTAAGCACTTCTTTTGATTCATTTGACACAATTCTCTTGACTCTTTGAGTCATCTTACTTCTTTCTAAGGGGTTAGAGAGACACACTGTCACTCTTTCTCATGCAATTCAAAACATTTCTCCTTTTTCAACTTTCCACGCCTTTTTCTCTTTTGCTTTTTCTTGAATCCCTTTTTATTCTTTTTCACATTGGGCTTTCTTTTTGTCTTTTTATTTTCTTTCTTTTTCATTGCCTTTCCTTTTCTTCGCTATTGTACCTTTTATCACTTTGTTCCCTTCCTCGTCTCTCCCCCCAAACTTATACTTTTGCCATGTGCTCAAGGAAAGATCGGGTGCCAAGAGAGAGTATCTTTTAGAACGGGTATAGGCTTGTATCATGGTTTCTAAAAAAAAGGTTTAAGGCTCAAAAGGGTTTACTAGGGATCATATCATTGGTAGGCTATGGAATTGTTTGACTATCATTTGGATCAAGGAGAGCCTATAATCACTTCTCAAGTCAAATTTCACCTAAGATTTCGCCTCAACAAACATTCAGGGCAAGTTCTAGACCAATAACTCGGGGCTTGGATTCGTAATTCGATTTCTCACCACATAAGCTAAAGGATTGCTAAAGACATAGAGTCGGGGGCCACAACAACCTTAGATGCGATTTGAGCACACAATGGTCCCGAAAGTCCACTTGATGATTGTTGGTCAATGCAAGAGTCTTAAGGTCACGACTTTCACCATCCTAAACACAATATTTTGTCTTTGACCATGGGATCAAAGGCAAATGTGCTAGGCCCAAGTGAAGCTTTGCTTGAGGTATCCTTAACTATAAACTACCCAAAACAAAAACGGACTCAAACCCTTAAGAAGGTTGACATGCTATCCATCATCGGGAAGAGCCACCCGGTTCACATAATACTCCACCTTTGGAAAGAACCGTGACATTAAGAAGACCAAACGCTTATTGAAAGCGTCAAAAACGAAACAAAAAGCTATGAATATAATTAAGAAGCTAACAGCGAAAAATATTGCAAAAATAGAACGAATATATACAATAGGGGATTTGAATATACAACGGGGAATGAATATATACAATGATGTAACTTTATATACAGACCAAATGAAAGATAAAAAGTGCGATAAAAGTAACTAAATGTAAAGTTATATATATACCCAAATGAAAATCGAAAAGGTATAAACTAAATTAGTATATATGTATAGTCATCCAAAGATAAAGGGCGCAACCCCTCAAATAAAAGTTGGCATTGTCCCCAATGCCAACTAAATCAGATAAGCGCCAAAAATAAAATAGAGGAAAGATATACAGACTCCCTTAGCCGTGTCCCTCTGCATCGGATCATGGGTGGTCCATGGGTCCTCTATATGCTCGGGAACCTTAGAGTGGTTCCTGGTATCCTGCTGCTCAGCTGCTGGGACCTGTGCCTGGACCTGGACAGGCTGTGTATCAGATACATCCTGTGGCTGACTGGAGGAAGCCTCCAGTGGGTCCGTCAACTGGATGATGGCATCATCTGCGCTCGGGATCATCCTCCTCCTCTTCGGAGGTCGTTGTGACTGCTCCTACTGTGGCTCTGCTGCTGGCACTGCTGCTGGGGCAGGGTCCTCAAACAATAAGTCTAAAGGCAGCTGGTCTGCCTTCAGTCTATCCACATCTGCCCGTAGATCCTTCACGGACTCCTTGGAGGCCCGTGTCTTGTGTAACTTCTTGTTCTACATAGCAAGCTCCTTCAGAGCCTTGACATGTGAATCCACTGCCTTTGCCAAATCAGCCTGGGTACTGAGGATCTTCTCCTGGTTTTCAATTATCTTCTTCAAGGCATCCTCACTGTAGGACCTGTGCTGGCTGAGGGGCCGACTGAGCTGCAATGGTGGAGGTCAAGGTAGATAACTTGGATGATGCAGTATATATCCAGTTGTTTAAACTCTAAAGCGTCTGGCTCAGCCAGTGGGCAGTGATAGGATGGGCCCAAGTAGATGGAATCTCTAGGCCCGCTGATGTGGAAGGGCCTAGAAGAATATCTGAAGTGGAGGGTCCGGGAGGCATCTCAGTATGAGTGGAGGCAGGCTCAGCTGGGGTCTCTACCACAACTGGCTCTTTAGACTGGCTAGTTGAGGTAGAAGCAGGGGCTTTGTAGTTCTTGTCCTTTGGGTTGTCATTCCCCTTCAAACTATACTAGGAG